CTCTCTCACACACACACACACACACACACACACACACACACGCACACACACACACACACACACACACACACACACACACACACACACACACACACACACACACACACACACACACACACACACACACACACACCAGTATACCCAGCGAACAGGATAATTAGGTAGACTGCAATCAAACCTAACTTTCCTCAACTGAATGCATCCTAAGATCTTGCAGACTTATCATGCTGCAGACTAATCATTGCCTGAAGTCTACATGACTGAGATTGTCATGATGATCAAACTGTGCTTGTCACATTCAGCATATACTCAAGTTGTGTGCTGACACCTTAGACGCAGACATCAGATGAAAGATAAGCTGTACATCTAATGGTGGCAGGTCATTATACAACCTGTTGGACTTAAATCATATTCAGCTTGGGTAGCTGAAATAATGGGCACATTTTCCATGTTAAAAAAAAAAGAAGAAAAAGAAAAGTGGAATTGTTGTCATTTAAAAACTGATGTATCTTCACGCTTTGCTGGTTATTGTCAAATAAGAATGTGCAAGGTGTAAATTTATCTTTTATATATCTTAAGATACATTAGATTGATAGTCATATGCCTTAACCACAGATGCCATTACAGACACATTTTAATAAGCTGTTTGACAAAACAAGACATTAAAAGTATCATTGCAAGAAAGAAAAAAATCTTCAAAATAAAAAGGAAAAATAAAATTAAGACAAACTAAAATTTAGCCTGGAAGCTAAAGTACATTTGATTAAATTTAGTATATTTGATTAAATCATCTTCAAAATGCAGACAAGAAATATATTAAACATGACTTTCTATGTTGATAAACTAGGTATGAAAAATAAGATGATGCTTTTGGAATTAAAACAAACATACAAGTCATGTCAAAATTACTCACTTCTTCGCATCCTTACACCTTAGGTCCTGTCTCAAACCTCGTATTTTTTCTTTTTGCTTGCAGTCTCTTTTTCTTTTTTGGCAAAAGCTTGCAACCCAATCCTATATAAGTGTCTCACCATTGCTCAGTAGTTTCATTTTGTTTTCACTACAGACTTGACTCCCCAAATACGCATGAGGTGTAGGAATGAATGGGAGCTTTGTCCACCACTATAAAGGCACACTCTGTAATGCTATTAAACACCTCAAACAACTGAATGAAGCGACAGTGTTTTACAATTGCCTCTGTGATGAAATGAGACGAATGAAAACCCAAACCGCTTGGCTTGGAGGCACAGCAACACTGTATCTACTGCAGGTCTTGTGCAGGACCACTACACAGCATTGAAATGGCACCAGATTAAATTAGTGCTTGGTTTCAGAGAACCTGGCCAATAACGGTTTGCTTGCTCTTTGGATAAAGTTGCTGATTACATTTAAGTAGACAGTCCTTTAAGGCAATAATAACCTCTGTCCCAACTTGTAACAATCCCCAAAACTTTTAAATCCCAAACATTTTAATGGATCTGCACTTGTAGAGTCATATACATGAATCTACCTGGCATACTAAAATGCCTGTGATACCTTTCATTATTCAACACAGCCCCAGTGTAAATAGTGCCAAGAGCATTTCCATTCATAAGTCAGATTTAATGCGCCACAATCATAAAATGGACGGTAAAACTTTTTATGGAAGTAATCATTCCTGGCACAGTATAAGCATGAGGATAGTTGGACCTCCTAACGGATTGAAAAAATGTGGGTTCTATAATTTTACAATAATTGGAAATGCACTTGCCCTTAATCTGAGAAGATATGTGAAAGCATGAAGAGATGAAAGCATGTTTTTTAGAAGAAAGAATAGTCTCAAATGACAGAAAATTGATCCTTTTGTTTGGGTTAGTCGCCCATACAAAATTCCACTTCAATTATCTGCCCAATTTGACTTCTCCCCCAGGCCAGATTTGTTATTGCAATACAAATATATATCATAAATAGCATTCTGTGTCAACCGGATATTGCTTTGTCTTTAAGATATTTAGTTACAGGCACCAGCAATTTCCTGGTTTCAAGTATCTTGTTAATATCAATTGGTTGAAAGTGGAATTTAACACTTTCAAATCTCCTTTAGTATCAGATGCCGCCAGGTTGTTTATGTGGCCATGCCTCTGTGTACTGCATATCACCCAGAGTCATTTTTGCAGGTGAGACTGTGCTCATTGCATTTGTTGAGACCGTTGTCCCACAAAAATAACAATAATTTAAAGAACAAAAATTGAATGTGACCTTTTAAATGATTATATGGTGATGTTTATTTAATTTAATACTTTATAAATAACATGCCAAGGTAGTGATTTGGTATTTTTTTAAAAGTTTTTCTTCGTATAAATTCACAATATAATTTCATATTAATAAAATGCTCTTCAATTCCATTTCTCCTCTTCCTCTCTCATAATCCACATTGTCTCTCTCAGAAATGGATTCCCATTTTCCTCCTTTGATAATACACAGTCAAAAATAAACAAAAACAGTATCTCTTTCTTTCCCTGAAAATGGGTAAATGAATGCTCACACACGCACGCACACGCACACGCACACACACACAAATATCCTCCATCTTACCTAGGTTTTCTAACCTGGCCTGTAGGTGTGGAGGCACAGCTGGCTCATGGCGGAGATAGAAATGAACCTCGTCCCTGTGGATACCCCACTGCTGCAGTATCTCAAAGGGCTTCTCATGGTCTGCCACAGGGCGCTCTGAAATGTGTACAGTGCAGATTGAAACTAAAGGCAAACAATAAAATAAAGGGCAACTTCACAATGGTTCATATTTTTTCAGCATTGACAGTTCTGCTATGACACTTAAAAGTTCTAACTGAAGTACACTTTCTTTCTAATTAACTGAATATGTATTATTATACTGTTAAATCAAATCATCAGATTTTTCTTATAAAGACAATATAAAGAACTGTAGGGTAAATAAACAAGAAATAAAAATCAATTTGATCCTGGTCCTCATGTAAGATGAAGTCAGTTAGGGTTATGAAATGTTGCATTCTTATATATTTCAAATATATGCAATGAAAGAACCACCTCTAGGCGAACAATGCATTTTATCTGACGTCCAATCTTTTTCATTAAAACTTGCAAACAAATACCTTTTATACACAAACTAACTTAGCTACGTTAAAGTATGCAAATAATAAATTTCAGTCAGATGGAGAGTGGTTTTATCTGAAACAATCTTGAAATACATATTATATGGCAGTTTTTACTGCACTGTATTGAATGGTTATTAGAACATAAGTGCAGATTCCTTTGTTGACCTTGATATTGACACAACTTATACACGAGGTTCTGCATCTAATCAAGAAAGAAACTCATTTCAATTTATGAATTCAGCAAAGGTTTGGACCGTAGACGGTATCTAATATGCAAGTTTACATACCAAATAAAATGCTTTTTTCCTTCAATTTCTATTACCTATAATTTTGATTAGTTTAAAAAAAATTTGAAGAAAAAAACCCAGGTTTAAAAGCCCCATTAACTCAAGTAAATACCTGTAATTTCAAAAGCAAATAATCAACTTTCTTTTAACACACAAATAAATAGATGACTGAAAATAAAGATCTGTACCTATAACTTACAGACAATTACTGGTTTGATAAAAAAATGAAACAAAAAATGAAACAAACAGCCAGTCCTTTTGAAATCAATTGCTTACCAATTCCCCTCCATAATTCTGCAAGATGGCAGATCTCCTCTCCAGGTTCTTTGCAGCACTCTATCACATCTTTACATGTCGTCTCAGGTGTAATGGGGACTTCTGCTGTTCTCTGGTGATTGCTGTCCAGGTACACTTTCAAGATAATCTGTAATAGATTCATACCTTGAATTGTGAAAAACTGCCAATAAAAATACCATGGTTAAGCTGAGGGTTAATTTTCCATATGTCATCTGTAATAGATTCCTAATCTTTTCAGTGTGAAAATAGTAATCAGTCATATTTTCTAGACATCTTCCAGGATAAACTAGGGTAAACTTTCTCAATATTTCATATATTAAGGTTTTTATTGTAAACAAATACACAACTGTAGCAGATATTATATCATATAATCACACAGATAGTTGTAATGATAAAAGCAGTAAATTAAGCCCAGTAAAACTTTATTTAGATAAACCTAAGATTTTACATTTAGATTCTTGTATTTCAAGTGCTCTTGATGAATCAATTTTTTCTGCCCTTTAATGTCACTATTTCCATTGCATCAAATGCAAACTTGAGTTTGGAACCCCATGTTCAGCTCTTTATAATTTTTTGCAATTAATCATTCCAGCAGTGGTTTTCAGTTAACTCCAGGAGACAACTGCATGGGGGCACCCTGAGCTTCAGAGCTAACTTGACACTAACCTCTTCACTGTAGCCTATCTTCATCGTGTCAAGTAACCTCTGA